CAAATTCATTAAGATTTTTCAGAACTGATTGGCAAAAGATACAACAGAATATTAGACCAGCAGTTCATTTCATTCTGTTCAAAAAAATTGAAAACCATTGTCTAAAATAGCAATTTTTCCCTTATATGAGATGTCAGACATTGAAAACTAAATTCTTTAATATTGATTTGCTAAACTTTAAATTCAGTATGAATGTTCAAAAGGGATTGACAAAGGATATAACAGAATATTACACCTGCAGTTCATTTCATTCAGTTCAAAAAACTTGAAGACTATTGTCTAAAATAGCCATTATTGCCCAATATGAGGTGAAAGATTTTAAAAGCTAAATTCTTTAATATTGATTTGCAAGACTTGAAATTCAGTATGAATGTCAAAAGGCATTGACAAAGGATACAACAGAATATTACACCAGCAATTCATTTCATTGCGTTCAAAAAAATTCAAAACAATTGTCCAAAATAGCAATTTTTCATGCACTTATATGAGGTGTCAGATTTTGAAAGTTAAATTCTTTAATATTGATTTGCTAGATTTCAAATTGAGCAAGAATGTTCAGAAGGGATCGATAAAGCATACAACAGAATATTAGACCACAAATTAATTTCATTTAGTTCAAAAAATTTCAAAACAATTGTCCAAAATAGCAATTTTTTCCTTATATGAGATGTCAGACATTGAAAGCTAAATTCTTTAAAATTTATTTGCTAAACTTTAAATTCAGTATGAATGTTCAAAAGGGATTGACAAAGGATATAACAGAATATTACACCAGCAATTCATTTAATTCAGTTCAAAAAAATTAAAAACAATTGCCCAAAATAGCAATTTTTCTCTTATATGAGATGTCAGATTTTTTGAAAGCTAAATTCTTTAATATTGATTTGCTAAACTTTAAATTCAGTGTGATTGTTCAAAAGGGATTGACAAAGGAAATAACAGAATATTACACCAGCAGTTCATTTCATTCAGTTCAAAAAATTTGAAGACTATTGTCTAAAATAGCCATTATTGCCCAATATGAGGTGAAAGATTTTAAAAGCTAAATTCTTTAATATTGATTTCCTAGACTTGAAATTCCGCGAGAATGTTCAGAAGGTATTGACAAAGTATACAAGAGAATATTAGACCAGCAATTCAATTCATTTTGTTCAAAAAATTTCAAAACAATTGTCAAAAATTAGCAATTTTTCCCATATATGAGGTGAAAGATATTAAAAGCTAAATTCTTTAATATTGATTTCCTAGACTTGAAATTCAGTAAGAATGTTCAGAAGGTATTGACAAAGTATACGAGAGAATATTAGACTAGCAGTTTATTTCAATCAGGTCAAAAAATTTGAAACCAATTGTCCAAAATAGCAATTTTTCCCTCATATTAGGTGTCAGATTTTGAAAGCTAAATTCTTTAATATTGATTTTCTGAACTTGAAATTCAGTAAGAATGTTTACCAGAGATTGGCAAAGGACACAACAGAATATTAGACTAGCAGTTCATTTCAATCAGGTCAAAAAATTTGAAACCATTTGTCCAAAATAGCAATTTTTCCCTCATATGAGGTGTCAGATTTTGAAAGCTAAATTCTTTAATATTAATTTGCCGAACTTGAAATTGAGTACGAATGTTCCGAAGGTATTGACAAAGTATACCGCAGAATATTAGACCAGAAGTTCATTTCATTCAGGTCAAAAAATTTGAAGCCAGTTGTCCAAAAAAGCAATTTTTCCCTTATATGAGATGTCAGACATTGAAAGCTAAATTCTTTAATATTGATTTGCTAGACTTGAAATTCAGTATGAATGTTCAAAAGAGATTGACAAAGGATACAACAGAATAATACACCAGCAATTCATTTCATTGAGTTCAAAAAAATTCAAAAAATTTGTCCAAAATAGCAATTTCTCCCTTATATGAGGTGTCAGATTTTGAAAGCTAAATTCTTTAATGTTCATTTGCTGAACTTGAAATTGCGTACGAATGTTTCGAAGGGATTTATAAAGCACACAACAGAATATTAGACCAGCAGTTCATTTCATTCAGGTCAAAAAATTTGAAACCAATTGTCCAAAATAGCAATTTTTCCCTTATATGAGATGTCAGATTTTGAAAGCTAAATTCTTTAATATTGATTTGATAAACTTCAAATTCAGTATGAATGTTCAAAAGGGATTGACAAAGGATATAACAGAATATTACAACAGCAATTCATTTCATTCAGTTCAAAAAAATTCAAAACAATTGTCCAAAATAGCAATTTTTCCCTTATATGAGGTGTCAGATTTTGAAAGCTAAATTCTTTAATATTCATTTGCTGAACTTGAAATTCAGTAAGAATGTTCTGAAGAGATTGGCAAAGGATACAACAGAATATTAGACCAGCAGTTCATTTCAATCAGGTCATAAAATTTAAACCATTTGTCCAAAATAGCAATTTTTCCCTTATATGAGGTGTCAGATTTTGAAAGCTAAATTCTTTAATATTTATTTGCCGAACTTGAAATTGAGTACGAATGTTCCGAAGGTATTGACAAAGCATACAGCAGAATATTAGACCAGCAGTTCATTTAATTCAGGTCAAAAAATTTGAAGCCAATTGTCCAAAATAGTAATTTTTCCCTTATATGAGATGTCAGACATTGAAAGCTAAATTCTTTAATATTGGTTTGCTAGACTTGAAATTCAGTATGAATGTTCAAAAGGGATTGACAAAGGATATAACAGAATATTACACCAGCATTTCATTTCATTCAGTTCAAAATATTAAAGACTATTGTCTAAAATAGCCATTATTGCCCATTTTTAAGTGAAAGATTTTAAAAGCCAAATTCTTTAATATTTATTTCCTAGACTTGAAATTCAGTAGGAATGTTCAGAAGGTAATGACAAAGTATACAAGAGAATATTAGTCAGCAGATCATTTCATTCAGGTCAAAAAATTTGTAGCCATTTGTCCTAAATAGCAATTTTTCCCTTATATGAGATGTCAGATTTTGAAAGCTAAATTCTTTAATATTGATTTGCTAGACTTGAAATTCAGTATGAATGTTCAAAAGAGATTGACAAAGGATACAACAGAATATTATCCCAGCAATTCATTTCATTGCGTTCAAAAAAATTCAAAACAATTGTCCAAAATAGCAATTTTTTGCTTATATGAGGTGTCAGATTTTGAAAGTTAAATTCTTTAATATTGGTTTGCTAGATGTCAAATTGAGCAAGAATGTTTAGAAGGGATTGATAAAGCATACAACAGAATATTAGACCAGCAGTTCATTTCTTTCATGTGAAAAAATTTGAAACCAATTGTCCAAAATAGCAATTTTTCCCCAGCTAACACAATTACGTTGTAGCAACGTTGTACGAACGTTTGCCGAACGTACACACTATGTTGTAATTAACGTCGGGTCCTTCGGTCGACGTTTGGACATTTATACAACGTTCTCATAGCACGTTTCTGGAACGTTCCAACAAAGTACAGTGAAGGTTCACTTAACTGTTGGTATGAAACGTCCTCATTAGTTTGAAAGGCATTTTTCAGACAAGTCCTTGAATTATCAAATTTCATGCAATATATGCATGTTAAAAATTTTTATCTTGCTTAAATTATTGGCCAACAATACAACATGATGTACAGGATAGAATGCAATTTATTTAAATAAAACTTAACTGTGTATACATGTATAAAATTAATACGAATCAAACCATTTACAATATTCTGTATTATATATATGTATATCATGCCAAAAGGCCTATCTACATGATGCGATTAGTCGTATGCGATTCTTATATCGGCGTATGTATTCGAGTAAATACGCGTGTAAAGATGTCAAATTTTAAATTTCGTTTTAATAAACTGAGGAACAGAAACACTGGCATCAGCAATCGTTTTCATACGTCTGGATAAGAATCGCATACCACTATAATCGCATCGTGTAGATAGGCCTTAGATAAAATGTACACCATAAAATAAGTTATGCACTTCCTTGCTCCTGGTTTCTACGATCCTGCAAAGAAAAAAACGCAATAAATGTTAGGTATATGTTGTACATATAAGCCCTTCAAATTTATGGTAATATGTCAAACATTAATTAGAGTCTATAGAAGATAATTTTCATATACGGACCATAAGACGCCCGTCTCCTGTATATGTAGTTTGCACTTTACTAGTGGCTAGTATTAGAGTTTAGAAATTCGATTGTGACAAAGATTGTGAAGAGGTCCGCATTGCTGTAATGCGAGCCTCGTACTCTAGCAATTAAAGGTGAGTTATAGTTACCTTGTATCTAGAGCCACCGGATTTCTGTGGAGCATGCTTCAAATACTCTGCAATTTTTTCCTCGATGTCTATTTCACTTACACCTTTGTGAACACGTAGACAGGCCTCTATAATTGAACTAAAAAAAAAAAGTATAGCTAATTATCAGAAAGGGTTAATAGCAATGAGCCAGTTGTTCGAAAGGTGTATCAGCACTAAAGCACCTGTACAGTACATGGGTACATTCATCACCAAGAAGAATACATTATAATTCATTATTTCCTGGTAAAGCCTGGCATAAATATCATGGGCCAAACAATAATGTACAAAGATACTATGCTATACTTACTGATAACAATTTTCGAGACAGCAAGTTCTTTAAATGCCCGCTTTGCTTTTCTCCTCTTCAGACTATATAATGACAACAGCTTGTTTGTTCCGAGCTTAGCCAGGATTCTTCTTGTGCTAACACCATGGTTATGGCCACACAGAGCAAGGAAGAATTGTAACTAAAAGTGAAATATTTATATTAATTAATTTATCGTGAACAAAAACAGTACGTGGCAGAACAAATGGCAACCCAGGGTGTCTGCAGTATGCTCATTACCATTTTTTTCCTAGCATCTTCATCTGCAAGTCGATCATTAAGGTTTTCCAATTCCTAAACTGAGTCCAGAGGATTGGGAATAATATCCTCAAGCATGTCATTTCCACTAACACCTCTTGTGGCACCAAGTACTACCTGCAAAATTGATAATGCTTCTTCTTGTTTTTCAAGCATTATATCAAGCTTCGTCAGAACAGATCTTTGAAAGCCTAATGACATTTTAAATGTATTTATACTATTAATTATGTAACTTTGTTAGGAATGGGTGACCAGCTTTCTCGATATTGGGAAATGACTGGCCACACCAGAAAACATACATGCACATAATATTAAATTATCACATTACGTGCATATAATTGAAACAACATATCCTCAAAACAAAAAATCAGACAAGATCTCATGGACTCTAAAGAAACCACACCAACTTACTGTCGTGATCCTGATGTAGAGAGTTGCGATTGCCTGATTTTGGTGTTTCAAAAGAGTCTGTAGTTGCACCAGAACCTGACAATTGAGAAAGAAAATTACTGAAAATGCAAAAAGTTATAAATATGACTCTGAACAATATAGCGCAATGTTCTAGAATATATAGTACCCATATGTACACTGACCATGTTTTATGACATATAAAACACTCAGCTTTGTCTCGTGTTATATATGTGATAAAAAACATGTGTTTTAAATAGTACTTAAAATTTTATCATAGCTTCACAACATGACCCGTTATCGCAGCAAGAAAGTGTTCAGTAGGCATAAAATATGCAACATTAAGTTGAGCACATTTTTTTCTCCTTCCAGCTATGTCCAGATTTGAAATAGTGATTTCTTCTTTAGTAACTGTTTGAGAAAGACTACCACTACATAAAATATTTCTCTTTGGTAAAGCATAATGAAATCAAGTATACATACTGTAATGCTGGCTTCTTTCACATGAATTCCTATTGCCTTCAGGAGTTTCAGCAGCTATTTGATAAAAAATAGCCTCAGGCTGGCCTAGCAAAAGCAAATATATTTCACAATTCGCATATGAATTAATGACTCAATACACGTACATACACTGTACAATAAAAGCAGAAAATCAAATGGAACATTCTTACTTAATTACGTAATTACTTGAATTAAATACCAATATTTTAAAATATATTATAGTCATACAACTATTCAATATTAATGTTACAGCATACAGAATAATAAAAAATGCCAAGTATATGATGTAGTCATGCTGTAGGATCTATTATGGTGCATTCTTATAAAGGATCTATATATTATGGTGCAACAAAAATTTGTTTCAGTTTTAACAAGATTGATTAATTATCAAAACCTGCAAACTCCAAAATCTATACCATGAATTTGTGGTCACAGCTGGGCAAATGGGTTGTGTTGCACAAACATTGAACTTTAAATATCAAGTTCAAACTTTAAGTGCACACAGGTATCACAGTGCCATACTACATGTAGGCCTATATACATGTAGGCCCATATATATAAAGGGCCTGCTCCTGCTTGCTGGAAATTGTAGAATGTGTGTCAACTCTCATGCTTTTACACCTACTGTATTTTTTCAATTACTTTAAAAAGCAATTTGATAATTAATGAAAAAGATTTAAGTGGAGCATTTTAGAGGTAAATAACTTAAAATAAGCAAATTTGAGCACGGCAAACATTATTTCTTACATACTGTACATGATACATTTATGACTATATCATGTATGACTGTATGACTATAACAGTGGATGATCAATTTACTTTTTTTGAATAAGCTCTTCAATTATTAAACATATAAAAAAATAAAAGAGAGACAATTTACACCTTATCTAATGTACTAGAGTAACATAAATTATTTATACTTGATTGAATCAGACCAAACTGGCAATTATTGATGGATTGAACTCAATCGATTTCAATCCTTCTTAAAACATACCCATCCGTATTTTTGGAAACGTGTAATATCTCTTTTATCTTCCTTTAAAGTTTTAAACTTTGATTTAATTATTCTATATAAAGCCGTTTAATGAAACGATAAATGTTTATAAAGGATGATGAAAACCACGATATGGCGGCCATCTTGAATGCAAATATTAACATGCCTAAAAATCTTTCCTCGAAAAATATGTAAATATTTTCATACACATTAAATTACTAGCTAGTAAGAATATAATCCCGTGCTTTTGGGCTTATATTCTACACAAACGTTCTGTGATAGAACCTCTAAAATCGCTATACTTTCGCAATATTAAATATATGATAATTAGTGAGAGCTAAAAACATATATATGATCGTCTTAGTATAAATATTTATAAGTCTTATAAATCTAGTATTCTCTGTATATAGGCAACATAATTATACTTACTTTAAAAAATCAAGCGACAATATCCTTAACAAAATCTTCTGTAAATAATACGTATGACTCCAGCAATAGCCAAGACAGAACGACACAACAAGCTTCAAACAGTAAAAATTTTACAGCGGAAAGAGACGATAAAAGACGAACACGCGTTCAAAGTTCAAACAGATATCACGTATCAATATGATATATATAAACACATATGATTTGTGGTAGGATGACACCGAGTGGCAGCCTGCCATAGCAAGCAGAAAATTCTACTTGACCACGGCAGGATTTGAACCCGCGGCCTTCGGTATACTAGTCCGATGCTCTACCAACTGAGCTACATGGCCAACTGCGGGTTTTTGATATTTCGAAACAATACTAGTTTCTTCAATATCATGAGCTTATCAGCTCAAAGGTGGATTAATGATGATGGTTACCATGGCAACCATAATTTTCATTATGATGATCTTGATCATATTTAGCATATTATTCATGATAAATGATGGTTTTTATAGCAACCATTATTATCATTTTCATGAAAATGATCGAAATTAAAATATAAATGATAATACATTATGGTTGCAATTGCCATTATGATGATCATTATGATGATCTTGATCATATTTAGCATATTATTCATGATATATGATGGTTACCATAGCAGCCATAATTTTCATTATGATGATCTTGATCATATTTAGCAATTATTCATGATAAATGATGGTTGCCATGGCAACCATTATCATCATTTTGATGATCTTTATCATAATTAACACAATAATCATCATAAATCATGGTTGCTATTGAAACCATGATGATCATTAAGATGATCTTGATCATCATTAGTTAATAATCATACTAAATTATGGTTACCATGACAACCATAATTTTCATTATGATGATCTTGATCATATTTAGCATATTATTCATGATAAATGATGGTTACCATAGCAACCATTATCATCATTTTAATGATAATGATCAAAATTAACTATCAATGATAATAAACTATTGTTGCAATTGCAACCATGATGATCATTATGATGATCTTGATCATATTTAGCATATTATTCATGATAAATGATGGTTACCATGGCAACCATAATTTTCATTATGATGATCTTGATCATATTTAGCATATTATTCATGATAAATGATGGTTGCCATGGCAACCATTATCATCATTTTGATGAAAATGATCAAAATTAACATATCAATGATAATACATTATGGTTGCCATTGCCATTATGATGATCATTATGATGATCTTGATCATATTTAGCATATTATTCATGATATATGATGGTTACCATAGCAACCATAATTTTCATTATGATGATCTTGATCATATTTGGCATATTATTCATGAAAAATGATGGTTACCATGGCAACCATTATCATCATTTTAATGATAATGATCAAAATTAACATATCAATGATACTAAATTATGGTTGCAATTGCAACCATGATGATCATTATGATGATCTTGATCATATTTAGCATATTATTCATGATAATGATGATTGATATGGCAACCATGATTTTCATTATGATGATCTTGATCATATTTAGCATATTATCCATGATAAATGATGATTGCCATGGCAACCATTATCATCATTTTAATGAAAATGATCAAAATTAACATATCAATGATAATACATTATGGTTGCAATTGCCATTATGATGATCATTATGATGATCTTGATCTTATTTAGCATATTATTCATGATATATGATGGTTACCATAGCAACCATAATTTTCATTATGATGATCTTGATCATATTTAGCATATTATTCATGATAAATGATGGTTGATATGGCAACCATTATCATCATTTGGATGATAATGATCAAAATTAACATATCAATCATAATAAATTATAGTTGCAATTGCAACCATGATGATCATTATGATGATCTGGATCATATTTAGCATATTATTCCTCATAATTTATGGTTACCATAGCAACCATAATTTTCATTATGATGATCTTGATCATATTTAGCATATTATTCATGATAAATGATGGTTGATATGGCAACCATTATCATCATTTTGATGATAATGATCAAAATTAACATATCAATCATAATAAATTATAGTTGCAATTGCAACCATGATGATCATTATGATGATCATGATCATATTTAGCATATTATTCCTCATAATTTATGGTTACCATAGCAACCATAATTTTCATTATGATGATCTTGATCATATTTAGCATATTATTCATGATAAATGAAGGTGCCATGGCAACCATTATCATCATTTTGATGATCTTTATCATAATTAACCCAATAATCATCATAAATCATGGTTGCTATGGAAACCATGATGATCATTAAGATGATCTTGATCATCATTAGTATAATAATCATAATAAATTATGGTTACCATGACAACCATAATTTTCATTATGATGATCTTGATCATATTTAGCATATTATTCATGATAAATGATGGTTACCATGGCAACCATTATCATCATTTTAATGATAATGATCAAAATTAACATATCAATGATAATAAATTATGGTTGCAATTGCAACCATGATGATCATTATGATGATCTTGATCATATTTAGCATATTATCCATGATAAATGATGGTTACCATGGCAACCATAATTTTCATTATGATGATCTTGATCATATTTAGCATATTATTCATGATAAATGATGGTTGCAATGGCAACCATTATCATCATTTTGATGATAATGATCAAAATTAACATATCAATCATAATAAATTATGGTTGCAAATGCAACCATGATGATCATTATGAGGATCTTGATCATATTTAGCATATTATTCATGATAACTTATGGTTACCATGGCAACCATAATTTTCATTATGAAGATCTTGTTCATATTTAGCATATTATTCATGATAAATGAAGGTTGCCATGGCAACCATTATCATCATTTTGATGATCTTTATCATAATTAACCCAATAATCATCATAAATCATGGTTGCTATGGAAACCATGATGATCATTAAGATGATCTTGATCATCATTAGTATAATAATCATAATAAATTATGGTTACCATGACAACAATAATTTTCATTATGATGATCTTGATCATATTTAGCATATTATTCATGATAAATGATGGTTACCATGGCAACCATTATCATCATTTTAATGATAATGATCAAAATTAACATATCAATGATAATAAATTATGGTTGCAATTGCAACCATGATGATCATTATGATGATCTTGATCATATTTAGCATATTATCCATGATAAATGATGGTTACCATGGCAACCATAATTTTCATTATGATGATCTTGATCATATTTAGCATATTATTCATGATAAATGATGGTTGCAATGGCAACCATTATCATCATTTTGATGATAATGATCAAAATTAACATATCAATCATAATAAATTATGGTTGCAAATGCAACCATGATGATCATTATGAGGATCTTGATCATATTTAGCATATTATTCATGATAACTTATGGTTACCATGGCAACCATAATTTTCATTATGAAGATCTTGTTCATATTTAGCATATTATTCATGATAAATGATGGTTACCATGGCAACCATTATCATCATTTTAATGATAATGGTCAATATTAACATATCAATGATAATAAATTATGGTTGCAATTGCAACCATGATGA